CTCATCATGACACAAGAGAGGACGGCAGGACTGCAATTTCCCGTGTTCAGTGAATGCAACAGAGGCAAGTCACAAGACCAATCAGAGAGTTGCATGGAAATACACGTGTGCTTGTGTCATTCAAGCTCGGCTCTCTCTGTGTGTGTGTGTGTGTGTGTGTGTGTGTGTGTGTGTGTGTGTGTGTGTGTGTGTGTGTGTGTGTGTGTGTGTGTGTGTGTGTGTGTGTGTGTGGCAATAGCGCATTTAGTGTGATAGAGAGAGATGGGAGAGAGGAGAGAGAGGGACCGGTGCTAGCGGGGACCGTGATGTTAGCATCTGGTTAGCTAGCTGCACTAACGGACATAAGGAGCTGTTTCCACAAAAAACTGGAGGAGAGTCTTCCCCTGTCAGACTGAGTGTTTAGATTAGAACGGTTTTGTCACAAATTATTCAAAAGATTATTTCCGCGGTACACCTTCATATGATCATTATAGTTATACAAACAATAAGAGAATAAATGAAAAACAGGTATGAAATACTATATGGCAGTAAAACAAGAATAGCCTACAGTTTAAAAGGGGAGTGATTTGTAAAATATCCATAAAGAAAAAGAAAATCTGTTTATAGTTCTGTCTCATATGGGTGCTGAGAGATGAATCCATAGATCTCTTCATGTTGCTCTCAAAGTGCACCAGATTGATGAATGGGAGCATCCCCCCGGACCCCCCTAGAGGAGGCGAGGACCTAGAGGAGGTGAGGACCCCCCTAAAGGAGGTGAAGTCCGCCCCCCACTCGCACATAGCACTTTACCCCTGCCTATATGCTGTGAGCTGATTATGGAGCCTTCATTGTAACAGTAATTCAGATGCAATTAGCCTATATAAAAGGCCTCAAATTGGAAGCAGTGTCTGGGCCGTCTTTTTCACTCAATTCTGCAATAGGTAGATCTCGCCTTTTCACCTAGTCGGTGATCTTGGGCTTAAAAAGGTTGGTGACCACTGACATACAGTATATGAAAATGTGTTTTTTTGGGCTGTAAGATTAAAAAAACTAGAAATAAATCCATCATTTTAAGTTTATTTTGTTAATATGTACATTTTTGTGTTTATAATATTCCTTATTGTTCCTTCAACTGATTCATATTTTGTTATATTTTAAATAACTGACACATCTTCTCACTCAAGTGATCAGTGACACAAAAACGAAATACAAAAAAGACACAAATACTAACTTTATATAAAAAAAGATGCTTTATTATGCATATGGAAGCTTGGAGCTTTAGTTTGATGCCACTGCAGCTGTAGGATAAAGAATAAAGTTTAAGGCGGTGCTGTGTGGCAGCTGTGGTGTATTTATAAAGAGAGAAGTGGAAGGAGGCTGTACAGTGGAAAAGTCGAGGCAGAAAAGTCGGGGAGGAGAAAGAGCGGAGAGAGACAGAGAGTACAGACACAGAGAGCTACTGCAATAGAGGAGGAAAGAGGGACAGAGTGAGTAAACGGGTAAACAGACGGAGAGCGAAGGAATTTCAAATCCACTGAGCTGGGGAGAGGAAACTGTTCTGCAGGATGGTGACATGACATGAGCAGGACTGAGAGGGGAGACAGGGGGAGAGATGAGTGACACAGCAGGGACACAAACATAATCACGGGGACTCAAAGACATCCTTGGACGGTTGACAAAAAAGGAGATTTGCGCTCTTCAAAACATGACATGAGTGTAACAGCAACAGTTCAGGTCAGTGGTTCCTGTTTCTGTCACGGGGGGGAGAAAAAGGGGAAACAAGGACAGGTAATGTAAAAAAGTGATAGACGTAAAAGGGAAAAAGGATTTGTTTCAGATCATGTACATGCTTCTCTATTGGGTCTTGCTGTTGTAGTAGACCGTTTGGAGTACTTTGGACACAAGGAGCGGAGAGAGAGGGAGGCAAAGACCAAAAAAGGTCTGGAGTCAGAGCTGGAGAAACTGCAGGCTTGACAGATGCTGCAGAGCCATGGGGAGAGGAGAGGAGGGACAGGCAGAGACAAACAGGAAGGAGAAAATAACCTAAGTGACAGTGAACTATAAGAAACTTGGGGTGTGGTTAGGTGGGATCCAGAAAGAGTTCCAGAGAGTCAGTGTGTGTGACGGCGGGGGGGTCAGGTGGGTCAGTCCCAAGAAGAAAGTGAGGGCTGGCTGTTATTGTAAATGTGATTCAGTGATTCTAAACAGAGCAACTGTTAACCCTGAGGAAGAAGAGCTTTACTGTAAATGCGTCACACCATGGACACCAGGGTTTCAAAGAAATTCTAAACGGACCCCTCACCCACCATGTCCACGGGCCCTGGCCTTGGTGCACTTGTCCCCGCCGAGGGGCTCCAGTCCACGGGGCCTGTTGGGCTCCAAACCCTGTTGGACCTGCTGGTGGGGGTCTACCAGGAGTTCTACTCCTCACACTTTGCAAGGGAGAAGTACGTCGCTGGCTTCCTGCAATGGGGTGAGTGTTTTCCTCTTGTTGCTAAGTGTATACGTGTGTGTGTGTGTGTGTGTGTGTGTGTGTGTGTGTGTGTGTGTGTGTGTGTGTGTGTGTGTGTGTGTGTGTGTTCTTTTTATGTGCCAGGTTCTTCTGCTTTTGCTTGACTGACTCACACATGAAGCCACTGGCGAGTTCCTGACAACTGTTTAAATTAGATATTAACATGTTGACCTAGATTACTCCTCCGGTTTCTGACAGTACTTGTTGCTTGGCGAACACTTTGTTTGGCAAGGACAGTGAATCGATACATCACCAAATGTAGCATTGCGTGCGACTGAGCACATATTTTAGCCGTTTAAGAGCTACATTCCTGAGTAAGGACAACACAAGTTAATTTATTATTGACTAACTCTGTCAATGAGGAACTGTCTCAAAGCTAATCCACTAATTCCATGTTGGTGATTTGACTTGCTCGCATTGTTTAACTGTTGGAGAACTAATGTATAGGCAGAAAGGAGCCTTAACAAAGTTTCACAAATCCACTACATACACTGAACAAAAATATAAACGCAACACTTTTGTTTTTGCTCCCATTTTTCATGAGATGAACTCAAAGATCTAAAACATTTTCTATATACACAAAATAACCATTTCTCTCAAATATTGTTCACAAATCTGAAAAGATCTGTGATAGTGAGCACTTCTCCTTTGCCGAGATAATCCATCCCACCTCACAGGTGTGGCATATCAAGATGCTGATTAGACAGCATGATTATTGCACAGGTGTGCCTTAGGCTGGCCACAATAAAAGGCCACTCTGAAACATGCATTTTTGCTTTATTCGGGGGGTCTGGGGGGGTCCGAAAACCAGTCAGTATCTGGTGTGAGGGTTAGGATTAGGGTTAGGGTTAGGGTTAGTGAATCGAGTGGCCCATGGTGGTGGTGGGGTTATGGTATGGGCAGGCGTATGTTATGGACGATGAACACAGGCCACTCGATTCACAACATTACCCTAACCCTAACCCTAACCCTAACCCTAACCCTAATCCTAACCCTCACACCAGATACTGACTGGTTTCGGACCCCACAAACCCCCCCAATAAAGCAAAACTGCACGTTTCAGAGTGGCCTTTTATTGTGGCCAGCCTAAGAAACACCTGTGCAATAATCATGCTGTCTAATCAGCATCTTGATATGCCACACCTGTAAGGTGGGATGGATTATCTCGGCAAAGGAGAAGTGCTCACAATCACAGATTTTTTCAGATTTGTGAACAATATTTGAGAGAAATGGTTAATTTCCTTCGGGATGAATAAAGTCTTATCTTATCTTATCTTTGTGTATATAGAAAATGTTTTAGATCTTTGAGTTCATCTCATGAAAAATGGGAGCAAAAACAAAAGTGTTGCGTTTATATTTTTGTTCAGTGTATTATGTTCACATTGGATGATTCTGCTCTTACAATTTACCTGAGTGCCACTGCAAGTTTGTATTTGTTATGATTTGATGCAAACCTTATATGTGTGTGGCTTCTAAAACCTTTACCAATCCTTTGCTCTTAACTGGATGAGTCCCTGAATTAGTTATTGATGTCATTTGTTTCAGCTTTCTCCACTGAAACAGACTGAAGCTAACCAAACTGAGCCATGGTTTGTTTAAAACAATGTCAGGATTAAATATAGTGATGGTTTATTGTTGATTCATTATTTGCCAAACTGTGGGCTGTGTTTGGCCAATTAAAAGTCAGTGAAGCTTCAGGTGTCATGGGTCTCAGCGCACTTGATGACATCTCCACCTTCATTTATGTGCTGGAGAATATTTTGGGAAGCATGTAAACATTTGGATTTATCCTTAGAAAAAAAGTCTGGACTTTGATCTCTAAACCGTTGATTTAAGTTTGGGTTCATAAATGAATTACATCACATTGGGTGCTGGAATCAGATTTTTTCCTAAATAAAATATATATATTATAGGTCACATGGTATGTCAACATCTGATTTATAAACAAACTCATATAGCGATAATATTACTATCAAATTGCACTAAACACATGAATGATTTGATATTCATCTGCTGTAAATCCACACTGGATTCCATTTAAAGAGCGACCGACAGACAAAGGTCAGCATTTGTTCAGGGATTACAGCAGCATATAAACAGCTCTCTAAAATGAGCTGACCTCTGTGTTCTGACCCAGAGAGCAACCGGAGACCACCAGAGCTGGGGGGTTTCAAAATGGAATCCGCTAAAATGATTAGTTACCTGTAAAACGTATCACAATAAGAAATGCAATGTAAATAAAGACAAGAGCACATGTATATCCAGGGTTTCCCACACATAGACTATACTTGGGCGGGCCGCCCAAGTATATTTCGCGACCCATTTCGTTTTTATTTTATTTTATTATTATTTTTTTATTTGTAATCGTCCGTGACCACGACGCCATCTGCGATCGATTAACTTGTGGACAATGATCCCTTGCTCTACGTTTCATATAGGTGTTCCCATAGATCTAGTCTCTCTTGAAGAAACCAAAATAGGATAACAAATATTTTATTTATAGGAAAACCTTCCTTTCATGAAGCATATCCAGGCAGCAGCCTATACACCAACACTTGAGCACATACTACAGTTTGAAAAGCAGAAATAAAATCTGAGCTCTATTTTAGTTTAACACACACAGTTAAGCTCACACACACTATTTAATGAACATATAGGTTCACCTGCTGAATTAAAAACAGAACAAATGAAGAAAAGAAAGTGAAAACCATAAAGCAGATTCAGGCAGTAGGCGTATAGATTCACACTTAAAGTATTAGCCTACAGAACAGTACAGCTTACAGAGAATAGAGAACCTCTGATCCTTTACAACAAACACTATACAATCTTTTTTGGTTTTTAGTGACATTGTATTCCTGCTAGTAATCCATCATTTTTAGAAATGTTACAGAAATCTGATTACATCTTTTTTATGTAACTAAGTTGCCTTCTTTTGTTAAAAAAAAGCATCACGTGGTAACGTAATCAGGATACAAAAAAGAGTAACTGTATTACCTTTTTTTTAAAAAGACAATCTGATTGCTTGTACATTTTTACAAGAATGGGTAGTACTAGCAGTTACAGCACTTACAGTACATTTTAAAATAAAGATCAAAATATTATAGGTAGTCTGCCTGAATTATCAATTTGCTTTCATTCAGGCTTTCATTCTTCTTTATTTTAAATGTATTTTTGTTTTAATGCAATAGGTGGACACCTGACTTATTAAACACAAATACTGTGTTTGCTTTTAATTCATGTATTAAAGAGCCATTTTGTATACAAAATAAATTGGTTTCTTCTTTTCTAAGGTCACATTGTTCTGTTGTCTTACACTGCAGTAAAACATGCGGGTACCTGCCTCTGCTCTGTGTAAGTCTGATAGCATGTCATCTCAACTCTCCTCCCTCTGTCTCTACTAGTGTCAGCAAACCCTTGAATGTGTGTATCTATGGTACTGTTCAGTACCGGGGCATGGGGTCATCATGTGCCCTCAGTGGTGGGACACTCCAAATGTAACCACACAATGCGTCCAGGAAGGAGGATCCAGTGTCCAATGTGTCTGTGTTAAGACCCTTCCTTTGGTCAACTTTTTGTTTTAATCAACTAGTCTTTGGCATGCCCCATAGTGAAACCGTATATATCTTAAGGGTGTCTTGTAGACACTGGTGGTGATTGAGATGAGATTAGAATAATAAAGATCTGGATTTGATGAGGAGTGGACTTCTGATGAGCTCAACTGGATATAAAGACTTGAAGGAGGGCCTCCTTGATCTTGTCTTTCAGCTGACGCCAGCAGAATAAAGAATAGATACAGTTTGACACAGCCCCATGATTGACCAATTGGCTAATTTTTTACTCAAAGAGTGCACTCATTATCATTATATTTTAGAGGCAGCTGAAGGAGTGAGAGAAGAACAATTCAAATGAATAACTTAAATGCATTTAAGATTTGAACTTACAATATGCTTCATTAGTGTTCTTCGCAACTACCCTACTGAGGAAATATTTATTGTGAAGTCAGAGGCATGTGGAAAGTATGTTTATTTGCAATTTTTATGAACCTTTCGTAATGCGGAAAAGCTTGCACAATAATACTTTAACACTCAGTTATTGTGTTGCCCTCTGTGAAGCTCAGTGAGGCCTTAATCATTAAGGTTTGCTATGACGAAAATAACTGGTGGATTCTGGTCACCCTCTACATGGTTTTCCTAATAGGTGAGGTCAGTAATGGATACAGAGTCAACATTTACATGAGCTGACTGCATCACTGTTTTTTTCTTTCATTAAAAATATCACTAGTAACAGCAAGTAACAGTAGAGTTTACATGTTGTCCTTTGTGTTGATATGAAATCAACATCTAATAAATTGTACATTACTAATAATAATTGTACAGTCTAGCACAATTCATTCACAAACCATGTGCTGTATAGCAGCTGTCTATGTGCTTTCAGCCTGATACAAAACATTTGTTATCCACATATCAGAATGGATTATTACGGAGGGTTTAGTCATCAACATGTGCAGTCATGGGATATCCTCACAAGGCCCTTCAGCTATTCAAATGCGTTTCTTGTTTTATGTCCTAATTGGAACTGTGTAGACATGAATCAAGCAAATGACAAGCAGAAATGTTAGTAACAAATCTTACATAGAGACTTTCCATCATATCAAATAACTGTTCATCAACACATTTGATACATTTTGTAAACCTCTCTCCTCCATCTCTTTGCCCTGACGTTCTTCATGGAGGGGAGTAATTTCCATTCATGACGATAGGAAGCTGGCAGAGGGGCCGGCCGAGCACTTACACTGGAAGTCTTGAATAAACACAAGCTGGCACACTGACACAGGACATACGCGCATGCGCGCGCATGCGCGCGCACACACACACACACACACACACACACACACACACACACACACACACACACACACACACACACACACACACACACACACACACACACACACACACACACACACACACACACACACACACACACACACACACACACACACACACACACTGTTCCACAGACTTTCTTTTATTGGTGGGATACAGCTGCAGGAAGCAACCAGAACAAGACGGACAGCGAGGTCCATTTCCTGCCCAGAAACAAACAGAATCATTTTTCTCCCAGTGTTTGGATTTTTGCTAAAGAGCATCTGTGAAGTGATGTCACTGAGGAATGAGCAGACTGTTCAAACTACACCCAAAAGTTATCAAGGTGTTGGGTGGACATTATGGGATGTTTTTCATGGCTTTACTGTACATCAGGAAGTCATCGGTCAGACTTCCACATAGCTAAGAGAATATTAATCGACCTAGACAACTACATGAGGCTGTACGGATCTGGATTTCTGGAGCAATGACATATCCCACCTGGCCAAACGTCCTAGCATTTTTTGGATTTGGCCAGGGTGAAGCACGTCTGGGCACCTTGTCTGCTGCCACTGTAACCTAAACCTGGATTAGAAACAAAGACGGTACAAAAGAAGTGGACATAGTCATCATGATTCCACCTATGGGTTTGTTGAATGCTTTTTAAGCTGAGAGTGGTGCAGGAATGAGTCCTAAACCTGTAGATAACTTAACCTTTTACCACTTCCAGTCCCCTCGTCTCGAAGTCAACGTTTTTCAGCAAGTTTGTGGTTAGAAGTCTGAAATAAGGTCTGTGGCTAACACGTGTTCAACAGCAACTTTTCATTAGTAATAGTATCCAGATATTTCTGACATTGCACTTGTCCGACCAATGCTTCCATAATTGCCCATTCAAGCTTGTGCACCCTCTTTGTGAGTGGCTGTAGCGTTTTGTTTCTCTGTAGGCTCCAACATGTTGTCATGGATTTAATGAGTGAGTGGTAAGTGGAGACTCAGGGATGTTCCAGAATATGACAAATCCTATAATGACCCTGATTGAAGTGTTTACAAGCTTTAAAGCGATCAGATGATTTGACCTTCTGGATGTCCTTGACTGATCTTCCTTTTTAAGATGTGGTCATTTTGTTATGACTCTACTTCTATAACATGTGAAAACACACACCGTTTCCTGATCGGTGTGTCCCTTCAGTTAGAAAATTATATTTACCATAAAGGGAGTTCCTCTTCAGCAGAGTAACTGTCTGAATTGGAGTTGCTCAGTACATCTAAAAATAGCAGCTATCATTTATGAATTGAGGCAAGTTTCCAGTCCTTCATTTTTATTTTCATTCCCCACCTCCTCTACACACTTAGAGGAATGCAAGAGAGAGAACCTGCAGGCACACACACACGCTGCGGCTTCAGAGCTCAACGTTTCCTGAGTCAGAGGACAATCCTGTGACAAGGATCCTTTATCCTCTGCGAACACATGCTGTCGCCCTGGGTCAGGGGCTGGGCATGCATGTTGCGTCACAGAAAAACACACAGACGACTGTTTCTATGCTAGAATAGAAATAGACTGATGAATGGACAGCATTCATTTTGATGTCATACAGATCACTGACGTTTGTACTATTGCACTACATAGGGGTGGCATCTCGGTCTGTAGGGACTTGGCTTGGGATCTGAAGGGTAACCGGTTCAGGTCCAGATCCGACCAAAAATACAGAGTGCGGACTGGTAGCCTGAGAATTGCTGGTTTGCCTCCTGGGCTCTGCCGAGGTGTCCTTGGTGCAAATCAAGGACTGAAATCCCCATCAGGGCTTAATGAAAGTGATCTTAATCTCAATCTCTTTAGGAATTTATAAAAAGTTTTAGTATGGTAACAGAAAAAAAAAGGTAAATATATAAACCAATTTAATTTGGCCGCATTTTATGTCTTCTCTGTTTATTTGTTTTGCTTTTATTTATATTGGGGGCAGATGATGATGATGGTTTTAGCAATGACATAATATAGGGTCACTTGATGTATTTTAAATGTGATGTTTGAACCTGATTGAGACTGTGTGCCTTTGTGTTCTATGTGTTACCTGGCAGCTAGACTAAAGTTAAAGTGAAAACAAAGAAAGGGGAAGAGGATTATAGAACATATGGAGCTAAACCAGCATGCAGCAAAAAAATCTGCATAACACATTGTCTCTTGTATGTTTATTTCCCTCAATAGTTTTCTCCATTCACTTTGAATGGGGTGACGTCACGCTTTGCCGAACTGCATTGTGGCTCCGTCGCCTCGCTTTGCCTCCGTTGCTCGCTTCAAAAGTTGAGAAAATTTCAACTTTTTAAGCTTCGACGGAAGCGTCAGCCAATCAAATCATATGCCAGTACAAGCTCTAGCCAATCAAACCGCGTGCTTGTGTGATTGGTTGTTGGTTGAGCTTCAGACACGCCCGCCGGCAAGTTTCAACGCACGCTGCCGTGTGGACGCTGCGTTAATTTAATCTAAGTGATGCTAATTATGTGCTAGCTCTTGCTTCATAGTAAGTGTTAGAGTAAATTAGATTGTAAGTGTAATTCTATCAATCTTTTCATATATGTCTTACTGCAAGAAAACAAATAAGCTCAGTCCGCAAAATGCCATACCATTTCTTTTATTGATGTAATTTTACATCAATATATTTGTATATATTTATTAAGTTACTTATTTATTTAATTTTGGCTTAGCACAATCAAACAAACAAATCAAGCATGCAGGGTTTCAAATGACCCATCTGAACTCCTTGTATGAAATTGAGGATAAGGATATGTTTTTTCAACTGTGGTACTGTGGGTGCTTAGGAAGTTTAAGTCCTTCCATCCATAAAGACACAAAACATTTCTGCGTTACCATCTGTCATGTTTCTGGTTGATCAGATCCCTTGTCCTGTCTTATTTGTAAGCTACAATGTATCATAAAAATGAAACAATCTCTCCCTTCTCTCGTCCAAACACAGCCGAGCCCCTGGTGAGGCAGGTGAGAAGGACTCGCATCAAAAGGGAAGACTTTCATATCCTGAAGGTGATTGGCAGAGGCACATTCAGTGAGGTGAGCAGGAGTGATACTCATATTAACATGATCTGATCAAGCATTTTGAAGTATCTGCTTTTACACTCTATTTACCCAAATGTCTTCCTATTTCATGAGCAGTGACAAGGTCTGTTATTAATTTGAAACTTCACGTTCTTCTTAATCGTCACCGCTGCAGGTTGCTGTGGCAAGGATGAGAAGCACACAGCAAGTGTATGCTCTGAAGATTATGAATAAGTGGGACATGCTGAGGCGAGGAGAGGTACACACACACACACACACACACACACACACACACACACACACACACACACACACACACACACACACACACACACACACACACACACACACACACACACACA